TCTTTCTAGGGCTTTGAGATGTAATGTTAGGTCATTTATTTGTTGACTTTTTCTTTTTTGAAGGAATGAACTCCATGCAATGAACTTTTCTCTTAGAACTGCCTTTATAGTGTCCCAGAGATTTTGATATGTTCTATCAGAGTTCTCATTTACCTCTAAGAATTTTTAATCTCCTCCTTGATAGCTTTTGCAACCCATTCATTGTTCATTCAATAACATATTATTTATAGTCTCCAGGTGTTGGAGTAGACTTTATTTTTTAATTTTAGTATTGATTTCTAATCTCATTCCGTTGTGGTCTGATAGAATTCAGGATAGTATCTGTACTTTTTTTGTATTTACTAATATTTGCTTTGTGGCATATGATATGGTCTATTTTAGAGAAAGATCCATGTGCTGCTGAGAAGAAAGTGTATTCCCTCGTTGATGGATAATATACTCTATATATGTCAGTTGAGTCTACATTATTGATTGTATTATTGAGTTCTACAGTTTCTTTGTATATCTTTTGTTTGGAAGATCTATCCAGTGGTGAAAGAGGGTGTTGAATTTCATTAAAAGTTTCTCTGCACCTATTGAGATGATCACATATTTTTTTTCCTGATATTCATGGGGTGTATTCCATTTATTGATTTCCAACTTCCTGCATCCCTGGATGGAAATTGTGTTGATCATGATGTATAATCTTATTGATGTGCTTCTGAATTTGATTTTCAGATATTTTGTTAAGGATTTTTGCATCTATGTTTGTTAACAGTGGTCTACTTTATGCTATTCTGCCACTGAGCTGATTTTTAAAATGGACATATGTGTTTCTTTCATGTTCATCAGGGACATTGTTTCATAGTTTCTTTCTTTGATGACTCCTTCTGGTTTAGGTATCAGTATGATACTGGCTTTGTAGTTTTAATTTCTATGGAATAATTTCAGGAATGCTGGTGTTCATTTTTCTTTAAATGATCTCATAAAATTCCGCTGTGAATCCATCCGGTCTTCAGCTCTTCTATGATGGAAGTTTATTTTAATTACTGCTTCAATCTAATTGCTTGTTATTGGGCTTTTCAGAACAACATTTCCTTGATTTAATTTGGTAGGTCATATATATTTAGAAATTTATCCATTTTGGGCAGATTTTTCCAATATTTTGGTATATAAGTTTTTAAAATAGTTCCTACAGATCTTCTGGATTTCAGTGTTGTCTGTTGTAATATCTCTCTTTTTATCTCTAATTTTATTAATTTGAGACTTCCCTCTCTTTCTTTTGGTTGGTTTGCCTAAGAGTTTATCAATCTTGTCCATCTTTCAAAAAGCTAACTCTTTTTTTACATTGATCCTCTGTACTGTTTCCTTCTTTTCTATTTAAATTAGGCCCTTATCTTTATTGTTTTGATCTTGATTTATCTCAATTATTTATCACAGAAGCTACAAATTAACTCACACAACATCTTATCTAATATTTACAAATACATTATACCCGCATGCAAAGGGAATATCTTTATACCTAAAATTTAATAAGGCTTTCTGAAATCATTAA